GGTAGCCATAAAGGCATTTTTAGAAGTGAGCAGTCGCATCATGTAAGATTCCTTTCATGTGAAGTGTCCCCAAAAGACAAATTTATAGATACATTATGGAAGCTGGATATGGGAATGCAGATGACTGTAAACAGGCATGAGGAATCTTCGTTGGGGGGATGGGAATGTTCTACAACTCATTGATGGTAATAGATGCACCAGTCAGAGTCACTAAAATGTCCTTGTAAACTTGATTTGCTGATTTTTTGATATGTAAAATGCTTCAGGAAGAATGTTTCAAAAAAGGGTCAGCAGCACCCAGTGCTAGAAAGAATTTAAGATGCAGAATGAAGGGCCCATTTATTGGTCACTTAGTCACTTGTGATTGTGGTCAAATTGCAGGGAGGGGAATGGAACAGACAAGGCAGGACAGATGCTAGTTGCAGTGGGTGCAGCAGATGACTCATGACAGGTGCTTGTTTGTGAAACAAAGGAGAAACAGAGGTGGTGGTTGGAAAGGCTGAGAGTTGTGAAGTTTCTTTTTTCATTTTTTAATGTGTCAGCCTGAGGTAGACATGACAGCTTTTGGCAGGGAGCATGGACAAGACTTGCTGACCAGATGTGGAGGGGAGCACAGAGAGGAGTCATCTCCCAGAGGTATAGCTTAGGTAGCATGTGGGGGCCCACAGGGTTTCTTAGACTCTGCCCATCTGGCCTCTGCTCTTGAACATGACTGGAAGTGAGATCTGCTGCATGGTTAGGCAAATGGGGAGGTTTGCTTCAGGCTCAAGCACCCTTCAAGGTCCTTTACATCTATCCCCCACCTCTCCTTATCTAGTTAGTTCTCATCCTGTGACCAGGTCAGCTTCCCAATTCCCGCCTCTGTTCTCCCAGGTCTGCTGACATTGCCTGGGATGCCCTTCATAGCTGTCTTGAGCAATGTCTAGTTGCTCTGTGCCTGACCTCATTAGACTTGTAAGGTCCTTTTCAAAAAGGTAGGCTCTACTTCCTGCTCAAGGTCTTCACCTGCAAGGCCTATTATACACGATTTCCAGTTGTCAACTAGTTAAGTCCTACTCCAAGTCCCAAATCTTAAGGTCCAGTTTCTTGTCACATAGCTACCAGCCATAGTGTGTGCACCATAGTTGTATACCAGAAGAGCCTGATGGTATTCACACTCTGTGGTCCAACTATCTCAACACTGCAAAATTTGAAAAATACTTGGTTACAATCTCTTGCTCCAAAGCAATGGTGGAGATACAGCCCCTTATTCCCTGGGGTGAGTACTGCCTTCCTTACTAGCCGGTGAACTACAGGCGGCCAATGATGCCAAAGTTTCTCAACTGTGGACCCAGCACCAGTCCTGTCCCCCAGCTCCAGGGAGAACCAACATCATCAAGGAAATGAATATGCTTGCTCATGCCAACAAGCTAGAGGGCCCAGGACCCTTTCACCAAGTGACCAATACTAACAACTCTGGCCTTCCTGTCCCCTTTGACCTGGAGACCTCACCTTTCATTCTTAGTCCCAGTCTTAACTAACCTAGGATAATGCAAGAAAACAAATTGTATAGGGACTAGCATATACTTAGAGCAGTTAGAAGTGTTCACTGACTACTCCCTCATTCAACCAATCAATGCAGGGAGAAATCTTCATTCCACCTGGGAAGGGCTTGTAGGATCTGGTCCTCAGTCTGGCTCACTACTCTCTTTTCATCCTATCGGCTTAGCCACATAAACAAAGCCTAAGACAGATACCTCCTGCTTCTGGACAGTACACATGGAAAACCCTCAAAAATCTGCCTCCCCAATACTTAGCTCCATCTTGCTCAACAGCATGGCTTCAGATAGTTCTTGCATGCCACCTGTTTTTGTGGATTTCCTACACTTTCCCTTTACTGGACTCTTTTATTTAGGGATGTGGGCTTTGTATGTCTTTCATTCCACTCCATACCCATTAAAAGTAGGACACATGCACCCCCTTCTAGGCCAGACCCAGCCCCATTAGCTCTGTGGGAGGAGAGTCACCCTTGCAGTTAGATCATATCCCATAAGAAGTTCCAGCCTCAGAGCCCCATATCTGGCCTGGGGTCCTCAGTAACAAAGAGGCAGACACAAAAAGTTTCCGTTAAGTTGTAGGAATTTATTTTAAATAACCTACAGTTGATTAAAAGGGAATTCATGATAAAAATAGAAGATACTTGAGGAAAGATGTGGGAAATGGACTCTGCACACACACTAAACTAACAATGCCTCTAAAACTAATGATTATAGCAAAAAATGTCTTCACATTAAAATTCTGCTTTTTATGTTTTTTCCCCCATTTTTTACACAATTACACAAGAAAAAATAAAAGCCCTAACATCTTGATTATTTTTCCTTTTTTTGGACCAAATACTCATTTTCCTCTAAATTTATTGACTTGTGGAACTTTTTATACAATAAAATCTTTCAAGTGAAAGATCTGGGTTTAAAAAGAAAAAGATGGATATCTAAAAGGGTACAGAGAATGCTCAGAACAAAGGATGATGGGAAAATGGTTTCAGTCACTGATTATTTCATTATCCTTAGACTCACTCACCCTTCATCCCTCCCCAACCCCAATCTACACGATCTTTAAGATCAAGAAAAAGGTTTAAATATTTTAAAATAATTAAAGAAATAAAAATTCACATTTAAAAAGGAACACTCAAGTCAGGAAATATTTTCCCATCATGCTTTTCTGTGAACAAGTGTCTGAACCAAAACACTGCCGATGTCAGGACTGCTTCAAGTTTAATGAAGACTGATTCCCATGACAATAGAGTGAAGACTCTAACAGGTGCGCTGGGTTTTTGTTCTACTTAATTTTAAATTCCTGAAATGGGGGAAAAGGTAGGGAGTTTAGGAATTTGTTTCTATTAAAATATAGAAGTTATTGCAAAACCCTAACTGTAAAAACGCACCAATATAATCGGACTTTGCATACAGTAGCTAAGAGAAACCAAACGCCTCAGTGAAATGGCGAATTTGCTTGGCAGAATTCCAACAAATTCCCATCCACTTGCCCTCTTGAAAATAAAAACAAAATTCAAAACAAATCATACAGCTAGAATTTTGATATCTGAAATATTTTTAAATAAGTTGTCCATAGGACAACTGGCTCAGCTCTCCCTTATAATATCTCCAGGTTTATCTTTTCGCAAAGATGTTGGTTTGTTAAGACTTGCTGCCTCTCCCTCAGGTGTGAGGGTTATTGAGGCTCACAGTTTATCCATCTTCCTCAAAGCATACTGTTCCTTTTCACAGAACCCTGCCCTCTGAGACTGGCTAAAACTCGAAGTCCTCATTGGCCATGTCCATGGCCCAGGCAAACTTCTCCCGCTGGGTTTTGTTGTAAATTTTCTCAATTGGGACTCCCCACTTCTTGCACCTGCAAACAAGGGAGACAAAAAGGAGATTAGTGACTCCAGAGAGTAATGCCTAGACCAGGGGCCTGGGCTTGGATATGCTACCTTTCCTACATTATCTCACTTAATATGGTGCAACAGGCATGTCCTAAGGGGTTTACGTCATCAATTAAATTTTTTTGGGGGGGTGGTGGTGGTGCCAGGGATTGAACCCAGGGCCTTGTGCATGCTAGGCAAGCACTCTACCAACTGAGCCATATCCCCAGCTCCAGTTAATTTAATCTTGACAGTGATCTCTAAACTAAGTGTTACTACAGATGTACAGAGAAGAAAACAAGCAAAGGTATTAAGTGATTATGTTCTTAAGCAGCTAGTTACTGATGGAGCTAAAATTTTGGTCCAAGCAGTTTGGCTCCAGAGCCCACCCATTTAATCATTGTACCACACTGTCCTTCAAGAACTACCTCAGCCTCTAGCACCAAAAAGTACAAAGCTGCTGGGCGCGGTGGTGCACACTTGTAATCCCAGTGGCTCGGGAGGCTCAGGCAAGAAGATCACAAGTTCAAAGCCAGCCTCAGCCACAGCGAGATGCTAAGCAACTCAATGAGACCCTGTCGCTAAATAAAATACAAAATAGAGCTGGGGATGTGGCTCAGTGGTTGAGTGCCCAAGTTCAATCCCGCGTACCCCCCCCAAAAGGTACAAAGCTGGGTGGAGCCTCTTCCATTGGGTGTGATAATCACTACCTATGCCCCCCAAAATTCAATAACTCAAGCTTATTAAACATCTTCAAAAATAAGCCACTTTGTTTTGGATATTATATGACAGAGATGAGGTTAGAGGAAGCCGCACAACAGAGAACTTACGTGCCTTTGTTGCCTCTGTGTAGGCTGCGCATATCTATATTCTCACTTTTGTTTTTGTCTTGTTTTACCTTCCTTCATTTGCAAAAATTTCACTGACAAGTTCTATTAAAGTGGGGGCTGAGGATGTAGCTCAGTTGGTAGAGTGCTTGCTTGCCTTGCACGCACAAGGCCCTGGGTTCAATCCCCAGCACCAAAAAACAAACAAGTTCTATTAAAGTGTAAATGGATTCTATTTTTACTTCAATAAGAGCTATGCTATGGGGTTTTCACTCTTGTACTAAAATTCCTTTAAGGATAGATAGGGATTGCACCCACATTTTTAAAACAAAACATACCCTCTAAGATAATACAATAGGATTGACTTCTTAGGGCAAGCCAGACCTCCCCAGAGGACTAGAAGTGTACTCAGGAATGGCAATGGAGGTCAACATGCTCTTAGAATCTTTCCAACCTTCTCAAGGCAGGAACAATACAAAGGCTCAATGCTGGACTTGGGTTGTGACTCAGTGGTAGAGCACTTGCCTAGCATGTGTGAGGCACTGGGTTTGATTCTCAGCACTACATGTAAGTAAATAAAGTCTATTCAGAACAACTTAAAAAAAAACAAAAAAGCTCAATGCTTACCAAGCCACTGTGATCCTAGGGTCCAGATAATTGAGTTTAGAGGTTCCCAAAGCAATTTGTTTATTCTCTTCTCGCTCTGTGGCCTGAACTTCCAACTTCATCAACTGTTCCTCCAATCTCTGCACAGCCTTCTTCTTTGACTCTACTACCCTGGAAGAATGGCAGAGTTATCAAGAACTGAACCGGGCCTCTGGACAAGAGCATACCACAACCCTATCCTGCCAGACCCAACAAAGGTACAAACAGGCCCATGAACAGAGGCTGAGGCAGGAGGATCACAAGTTCAAAGCTAGCCTTGGCAACTTATCGAGACTCTTGCCTTAAAATAAATTTTAAAAAGGGTTGGGGATGTGGCTCAGTGGTTAAGTGCCTCTGGATTAAATCCCCAGTACAAACAAAACAAAACCCCTAGAATAGCTGGGGCACCAGGGCCTTAGAGGGATACTACACATTTTTCTCTCAATCAACCCGGACTTGGCACATTATCAGGTACATACTTCTTGGTCTTTGCATCCTTCATAACTTTGGCATCAGCCTTAGCGCTTTTCAGGTTCCTCCGGGCATCTGCTAACTGGTCCTTCTTGGCATCAATCTAGGCAGGGAAAAACATCAGCAAAGTTAGGAGCAAAATGAGCTAGAGAAGGGAAAAAAGGGTTCATTGAAGAGGGCGAAATCTATAAGTTGCCTCCACAAGGAAGGCTATCTTTTAGGGTTTTTCAGGTAAAAACACTTAAGCAATGGCCTCATGAAGACACAAGGAGACACAGTGACTGCTGAATTCTACTGCTGTTTTTTTCGTTTACATTCTCCATTGATTATCCAAGAAATGAAGATTCTTATAGGGCAATGACCTGGGAATCTGGATACTACTCTAATCAGCGACCCCTAAGGCTTTAGGGGTATGTAGGCTGAAAGGGGAGTCCAGATGGAGCCTGTGCCTGGTTGTAATCTTCATTTCAAGAATACTGTGGGAGAGAAGTACTTAGAATTCTGGGACTGAATACTTGCATCTACTGAGTAAGCCCAACATATTCCTCACATTCTGCCAGCACTCTGGAAAGGAGCTGCCAGCGTCTGAAGGAAAATGATGCACTGAAGAGAATATCCAAGAAACTATGAAATGGCAATTAAAGATGTCCCAAACCAATATAAGACGTGCCTCTGGTATTCTGTTTCAGAAAGGAGAGAAGTCTGAGGTAAGAAGGAAATCAGTGTCAGACTTGGTGGCACACTCCTATAATCCCAGCTACTTGAGAGGCTGAGGCAAGAGGATCACAAGTTTGAGGCCAGCCTCAGAAACTTAATGAGACCCCATGTCAAAATAATTAGAAAGGAATAGGGAGTTGGGATTGTAGCTCAGTGGTTGAGTGCTTGCCTAGCATGTGTGAGGCACTGGGTTAGAGTCTCAGTACCATGTGTAAATAAATAAATATAATAAAGGTCCACTGACTTAAAAAAAAAAATAAAGTCTGGGGATGTAATTCAGTGTCAGAGCCCCTGGTTCAATTTCTAGTGCCCTGATATCCCCACCAAAAAAGAAGGGAATTAGTTAATCGCTCAAAACAAGAGATGTGGAAACATCTTGGGGAATCCTACAAAGGAAGAGACAGGGGAACCCTGTTTCAACCATTCTTGCTTGTTAGAACATTTCTGAAAAATCTATTTCTCTTAGGGTACTTCTTAGAGATGGCAGCAGCTATCTAGCCATGTGTCTAGAGTTCAAACCAGTGAGTTTGCTCTGGTGGTGTAGAAAACAGAACCTCATCCTTATGATCACCCTGCTAACCTAGAAGGTCAAGAAAACCTCACAAAGTAAATATACACTTGACTAACACATACTAGGTTACTGCTCACTAAGCCTAGAATTCTCAGATACACACACACAGCCCACCCAAGACTAGAAACAGAGGCCACCATTGTGAGATAAAAATTAAGCACGTTTACTATACATGGCTTACTTCCAACAGCTGTTGTCAAAAGCCAAGATGAAGGAACCAATTCTGTATACAAAAGCATCACAGACACCACTAGCCAGATTCTTCTTGGGCTAAAAATGCAGCAAACCACAATCTTAACCATTTCTGAGAATGCTAAATTGGCAGGCTATGTCAAATTCTCTCTAAGCATCAAAGACTCCATTGATTCACTTAGCAAATGGGCGTGTGTTTGCTTTGGGGGCATATATATAGGAGAGGGATTCTGGGCTTGGAGGTCTGGTCTAGCAGGCAGTATGGGCTGCCCAAATAGTGGTTCCAGAATGAGAGCGACAAAAGGTCTCCTCATTCTTCTGGGAGGGTCTCCTGAATTAGATAAATAGCAACCAAACATTCATACTTTTATTTCTAGTGTGGAATGATAACATGAGAAAAGTAAACAATACTAGATGACCTCTACTTAACAGAGTGGCAGCAAAGGGGAGCTGTTTGGATGGGTGGTCTATAGGGTTCCTTGCTTGCCAACCATATGCTTCCAGGATTCAAGAAGTCTATGGCTATATATTTACTCACTGTGGACATGTACATTCCTTCAGGACCACCAGCTGGCTTCTAGAGTGGTAACTACAGATTGCCTGTGTCTTAGGACCCAGATGTACTTCTAGGTGTTTATTTTAAAGTAATTACAATAAAAGAAAAACACTGTGAACTGAAAATCTCTATGATGTCTCATTCCACATCATTTTAAAACTCTAGTAGTCTAAGTATAGAATCTCATAAACTTGGCTGGAAAAAAGTTATCTGTAATTTTTATTAATCTCTAGTTGACACTGAGTATTTCTTTAATTATGAATATGGGCAACAAACCATAGTAACATCAGTAGGACCTGTGAGTATCACCAAAAGATGTTATATTTATTTTCATATAATATTACAATTGGAGCCAGGTGTAGTGGCGCATGCCTGTAATACTAGTAACTGTGGAAGTTTCAGACAGGAGGATCACGAGTTCAAAGCCGGCCTCAGCAACAGTGAAGCACTTAGCAACTCAGTGAGACCCTGTCTCTAAATAAAATACAAAATAGGGTTGGGGATGTGGCTCAGTGGTTGAGTGTCCTTGAATTCAATCCCCAGTAACAACAACAACAACAACAACAACAACAAAACAATTGGTGCAATAATCTTGAAATACCATTTATACGCATTACTACCTTAAAATTTACAATATTAGAATTATCAAGTTTTTTTTTTTTTTAACAAAAAGAGAATTTTTCGATATTTATTTTTTAGTTTTCGGTGGACACAACATCTTTATTTTATTTTTATGTGGTGCTGAGGATTGAACCCAGCGCCCCGTGCATCCCAGGTGAGCGCACAATTGCTTGAGCCACATCCCCAGCCCCTACCCTCAAGGTTTTTTTTATTGGTTTCCTTTGGCCCTGCATATCTGTCATAATAGTGAAATATCTACAAACTTTAACTGTAGGTTAGCAAATTAGGATGGTTTAGTTATGCAGCCACTGCTAAAAAAATACTCATCGCAGGCCAAGTACACTGGCACATGCCTGTCACCTGAGTAGCCCAGAGGCTGAGTGAGGCAGGAGGATGTTAAGTTTGAGGTTAGCCTGGGCAACTGGGTGAGACCCTGTTTCAAAATGAGGAATAAAAGGTGGGAGGCATTGAATTGTTTGCACATTTACACATCAGTGTCTCTGTAGACCATAACTGTGGCATACGGCTAATATTGAGCAGATGCTTGATGATAAACTATATTGTGATTCATGTATAATATGTAAACATAAAAATATGTGTACCAGGATTAGGGGGAACTCAAATATTATTTCAACATCTTTTTATTTTTTGAGATGGGGTATCACTTTATTACCCAGGCTGGGCTCAAACTTGCTATCATCCAGCCTCTGCCTCTAAAGTAGGCTGGGATTACAGGCATGTGCCACCGTGCCTTAATTTGAAAAGAGCTCTTTTTCTTTCTTTCTTTTTCTTCTTGTGGTGCTGGGGATTAAACCAGGGTTCTCACACAGGGTATGGCAAACCTTCTATCACTAAACTACATCCCTAGCTCTAGAGTTGTATTTCTGAGCCACAGCAACAAAACTTTCTTTATATCTATTTTCCTCATGTACAGTAGCAAAAGCACATCAAGGTTAGCACTTCAAAATAGGTAGTGGCCAGTATAGAACTTCTGACCAAAGCAGAAAGAATTCCTGTACAACTGGTACCTTGATATTCATAACTACTATCATACTGTCACTATTTATTTATCCTTAATATGGACAGACCAAGACTGGCCTGCAGATATCCTGGTTCAAAAGGCTGGATTATAAAAGCCTCCTCTTTGCAGGTTATCTGCAAAATTAACAAGTTGTAGACAAGTTTCCCTTCATTTTGCTACCCCATCATCTAGTCCCAAGGTACCTTAGACTGTAAGTTCATCATAGACTTCTCAAATGTTTTTGGTGGTGCCCTCTGATGGTTGCAAAGAATAGCAACAGCTCGATTGGCACGGTTATAAGAAAGAATCTTTGCTGGAATATTCTCATCCGCTGTAAAAAAAAAGATGATAATAAGAGTTAGTTTGTATGCCCAACAGTGCACACATGTCAATGATTTTACTGGCCCTTACCACACTCAAATGATGAAGTTTCTCCCAAGGCACAAGGTCAAAATTCAAGAGTTAATGGTCATAAGAAAATGACAACATGAAGTGTATATGTAAACCTAGCCTGGATGAATTCCCTCCATAAGAGGAATTTGAGTCTCCTTCTTTTTTCAGTTGTTGATGCACCTTTATTTTTATTCGTATGTGGTACTGAGAATTGAACCCAATGCCTTATATGTGCTAGGAAAGCGCTCTGCCACTGAGCTACAGCCACCCCCCTCTCTTTTTTAAGGGTCTCATTGTGTTGACCACATTGGCCCTCAACTCCTAGGGTCAGTGATCATCCTGCCTCAGCCTCCTAAGTAGCTGGGACTATAGGTAAGCCAACATGACTGGCTTGTTTCTATAATATAGTGAAATATACACCCATCTTTTTGTCCAAGGAGTCAGGACAGGGACTCTTCTGATGCCTCATTCCTGCTTTCTACCTACTTGTCTAAAGGAGCCTAAAGAAATGTATAACTGGAAAGGAGTCTGTAGATGAAGATGAGATAAAGAAACCTTAAGTTTCACACTTTAAGCCACAAGGCAGTATACTGTTTAAAAAGGAAAACTATCAATGTCCTGCAAAGAAATATTTTACCTTACTGTGTGGCATTCTTTATCCTACCCTAAAATATTGCCCCTCAACATGCCTATCTCTGGCTTTTCTGGATCATATTCTAAGACCACTTAACATGTTTACAAAGGACATTGAAAACTTAGTAGTGACTGGTCCCCCCATGGGAGTGTGGGGGTTGAGTGCGGTAGGGAGCTGTGGCTCTTGGTAGTATCTTCTGTAGCTAGTTTTAACTTTATTCTCTCCAAGTTAAAAGAACATCATAGTATTACCTCTTCCTTCACCTTGTGAGCTTTTAAATAACATATATGTAAAACACAAAACCCAGGCATTTTCTAGGCAGAAAGAAAAGTTCTGTAAGGGTAGGAGTAGGAGAAACAGCACTGATCCTATTCATACAACTAAGCTTTAGTGCCTTTTTTTTTTTTCCTTAAAGCTTTAGCTCTTGATAAAGGCCTGGAGGGAAAATGTTTCCAGTCACAATGGTGAGAAGAAAAAGTGGAACTAATCTAGGATTTAGCTAAGCAAGGACACTGGCACCATCAGCAGGATGTGGCCACGTGTGGTCAAGCAACACTTACGGGCTGTGAGTTCTTTCAGCTGCTGCTGTAGCGTGATGGAGGCATTGTAAGTACGGAACACCTTGGCTGTCAAGCCCTCCATGAGATCCTGAAGGTGTTTGTTTAGAATACCAGTCTGGAGAAAATAAGGCAAGAGAGAAGAGAGGGGATTTGGGGATTGAGGTAAGAAGCACATCATCCTGTCCCTTCTGGCAAGCCCTAGGAGTTATTTATGCTAGTGCAGTTGAAATCTTGTCAGGTTTACTGTATTCAAGTGGAAAGTTAGGTAAGAGAGGGAAAATAATTTCATACTATAGGATTACATGATGCCTCCTTATGAAGAACTTCAATTCTAAGCAGGCCAATAAAGCAAATTTGTCCTTCCCTATTAAGATTTTCTCTGGCAAGCTCTCA